CGTGTGGGACCCATTAGCAGGGAGCGAGAGATATGGTCAAGGTTAGGGTCTAAGGTAGTGTTCTAGTCTCCTGCTATGATTACTGGTAGCAGTGGTAGGGAGTTTGGGATGATCGCTTTGATGTCAATGAAGAACTCCACTCATTCGCTTTCTGTATTGGGGGCGTATATGTTTAAGATTCTCCGTTTTTCTTCTTGCCATCCGATGTCGACCCAGGACCATCTGCCCTCGATTGTATTTCCACCCCCATTCAACACCTGTCCTTCTGTCCAGATTTTTAATGAGCGAGGTATGCAGATTGTTGTCCCTCGTTTGCTCTGTCCCTCTTTGTTGGACCACAGTGTAAAATCGCACCCGGCCAGGCTTTTTTCCGTTGTCCTTTTGATTCTGGTGTGGTGTGCAAGATTTGACAAGTGGGTTTCTTGGAAAAGGATGATGTCCAGTTTGGGCTTCTTTTTTTCGAAGTCTGTCTTCTTCGGATAGTATGTTGCCTAGGCCGTTGACATTTCAGATATGGATTGTCAGCCCCTTTGCCTGTCGGTCAGTTCTGACTGTCCCATCTTGTGCTCTGCTGTGCTGCATCAATTTGTATTGCCCGGGTCGTTGTGTTTCAGGTTTTTCTGTCTCTGGTTTTGGTTTGAGCCAGAAAATCTCTTATATTTTCCTTCTTTTTACTTTACCCTTTTTCCAGTTTGTGTTGGTAAGGCAGACTAATTTAGTTAGGAAGGTTGAGAGGTCTAGTCTGCTGCCGCAGAGGTTTTGGGGCAGCCCACCTTCGCCCTTGCTCCACTGATCTCAAAATGTGCAAAATGAGAAAAAACTAGATGACTCCTTGGCTTGAACATGGAAAGGTACGTCCAGAGCCTCCTGTTTTCCTTTCGAAATAAAATTTATCCAATTCTTCCCCAAAAAAGAGAAAAAGGGAAAATTTTCAAAATGCCCCTCCGACTTCCATTTATTTGCGGTATGCCCCTCCGACGGCCAACTTACCCTGCTGTGCCCTTGGGGCCTCAGAAGTTTCCTGCAGGCCCCTGTCAGTGAGGGGTGCAACTTTCCAGCATGCCCCTGTGGCTGTTGGTGGCACTTGCGGCCTTTCCCCTGGCCCTAGGAGGGGAGCTACCGGGGCATACTGGAAATTTGGAACCGGTCCTGGTAGGGGCATATTGAACATATTTCACGCCCAAATGACGCCAGTTTTTTTTCTTCAGAAACTTCAATGTTGTCAGCCTTCACAGGGGCATACTGCAAATACATGGAAGTTTCCCAAAAAGAACGCAGTTACCGTGTTACGTTGCTATCGGGAAGATTCACTATCGAAGATTCATTGGGCCTCTTGTCGTTTTTTCATGTGGAGAATAGTGGAGCGAGGCCCCTACAGGAATGACAAAAGCATACACTAATGTATCTTTCCGAGTCCATGTTCTAGCGGAGGATTCAGTCTCACTGTGCCATTTCGAGAGGTACTGTAGTGGAGCGAGTTTTTCAGAAATCTCTGCACGAACTTGGGGCCTTGCACCAGTACTCTCGAAATGTGCAAAATGAGACTGAGGGTCTCGCTCCACTACTCTCACAATGTAAAATTTCAAGAGTACGGCACGGCTCCACTTTCTTCCATTTCCCACATCCACAAGCCCTTCGAGAGTGCTTCGAGAAACTCTCGAAAATTTCCAGAGTCGCGTGTTGCTCTACTACCTTCTGAAATAAGCTATCGAATCTCCGCATCGAAAGCTTTCAGAAGTGTGTCATCGAGAGCAGTCTCGATGCTTCAGCGGTTATTTCGATAGACCTCCATGGGACGCCAGTTCCTAAACCCCGCCTGCAACAGCAGTTATTTCGATAGACTTCTGTGGGACTCCAGTTCCATCCCAAAAATTTTCAAGCTGTGCCTCGTGTCCCGGTAGACAAGGGACTGCGCATCTTGCCTTCTAGCACCCGGATTCCACTCCTGGATTTCGAGAGCGCTTCGAGAGTTTGGCCATGAAGAGTAAGTGGAGCGGTGACACTTTTTCGTTCATTTTCAATGGCCTGACAACTTTCCATCTACTTTTGATTTTATTTGCCTTTCAAGAGTGGTGGAGCGCAACCCTGAATTCTTCATAAGAACATGGAAAGATACACTAACATTGCTCTTCTCTCTTGTGCATGTGGACAGTGGTAGAGCCAGGCGAGCTCTGAGGGCATGTTATGTCCCCTGACATGTCTGTTGCCCGCTGACTGGCGGATTTCACGTCGTTACTTTTTTACTTTTTTTCTCAGACTTCTCATTGTCTGATCCCACACTACTCCCACCAAGTAAAAAGTAGTGTTTGGGGGGATCCCTTATCTCTCTGCACGAGCAGGGTGCAGTGGTGGAAGTGGGAGGATAAGAATCCGTTTGATGTCGTGGCAGTTGCAGAGGATTTGGCACCGTGAGAGATTGTCCTGTTTTTCAAGAGAACCCAATCCATACCCTGCCCTAAAAAGGTGGTGAGTTTGTTGATTTGTTTTTTTCATTTTTTCACACCAACTTTTCCAATTTTTCATTGGCCGTCCGGGCAGCCTGAGCGCAAAAAATAAAAAGTAAAAATATTAAAATAACTCATAAAATTCCGGGAAAAAAAAGTTGTTGTGTACAATGTGTAGATTTGCAATGCAAACAACTTTTTTTTTTTTTCCCCCCTTACCGAACAAAGCAGATATCATATAACCAGGAAACGGGCCCGGTGTCACTACATCATTTGCTGCGGTCAAACGGGCTAAGCAAGGCACTCTCAGTGTTGCATACTATAACGTGCAGACCAGAACGAGAACCGACCTTTCAATACAAAGTATAAGATAGCACAACGGAAGACTTAGATACCAGTGATCTGAACGATCAATGTTGTAATGCAGCCCTGAACATACATCATCATCATCGTTACATGGTGTGAATGGGCCTGGCGCTTCACACAGGAAGACAGCGCCAGCCCGTACCATACACAGACGAAGAGGAAGGGGATAGACGAAGAGGAGGGGAAGATGGGAATGTCGTCAACACCAAGTCTTCGGCACAAGCCCAAATAGTCCCTCGTCGAAATGTCTGAATCCCAAGTGTCAAGTCTGGATCCAATGTCGTCAGGTCTCGAGTCACAACTCTGTCTCTCTCTGTCGTAGTCTGAGAAGTCAGGTGGCGAGAGGGTGAGAAGAGAAGGTGGACTTAGAAGAGGAAGAAGAAGAACTCTCTCTCTCTCTGTGTCCAGTACTAACCTGTGAAGTTGGCGCCT